ACGTTGAAACTCGTTAAACCAATTTTTGACGTTCACCATCGAAGGAGAAGAGTCCCCGTACACAGCATCCAAGCGCTTTTTGATTTCGTTGCACGATTTCCCTTCCAAAAACAAGAATCGAATCACCGACCGATACTGCTCTTTTTCCATTTTTCAAAAATCAACGAACACACTTGCTTTCACACGCTCTCAAAAATAAACTACAACTCCGATCCGGCTGAAATCTTGACAGTAACCATCGAGAAGGTTGTACTACGTGATAGAATATTTCTTTTGCGAGAGTGGCGCCATCGGGCGGTGAGGCTAAGTACTTATCGGACCACCCTCGTATTGTTAATTGAGTCGCCACATACAGGGTGAGAATGAGTTGATGACCAACGACCTCATCGTTCTTCAGAGGATCGTGAGGCAGACGCGGCCTTTTCCCTTCAACAGGAGAAAAGTGCGACTGGCGATGGCGACGCTGAAACCGGTATATGGTTGCTATCTTCGAGATAGACCAGTATCCGATTTCCACAATCTCCGCTTCTACGGGGACAAATTAGAGAAGCACCATAATCGTGAGCGAAACTGGCACCTCTTTCTGTGAATGATAATTTGTTGGTGGAAGATGTCGCCTACAGAGGGGAGAGCAAGAAAAGCCATATAATAGCAAGTGCCATCGTTGCTCAGGTACGTGAACACAAAGTCAGCAAATCTAAAGCGAATAAAAAGAATGGTGCAAAATCTTTAAAGCACCAACGTCGGGGCGCTCTTTGAGTAATAAGTTATGGGACTTATGAATGAAGACCCAGGGGATATAAACACATGGAGGATACTGATAGGATCTGAGCCAGCGACTCGAAAATTGTTGACAAGCTGCTGATGGTTGCGAGTACAGGAAGTGTGTGGCAGAAACGAGAGACAAGAGCTGCAGCAGTATATGGCGGAGCTTGAGAGAGAAGGAACGTCGCAGATCGCCTTATGACACCATACCTTGGACAGGCCCATCGAGCACACGAGTGGAATAACTATAAATATAGAGCTGAGTGCACAGGCTTTTCCGTTGGTGAGGAACGCAACGAATTGGCTAGAAGTTTCATCAGATTCGGCAGGGGTAAAGACGTAGATGACACGACTAAAAACTCGGTAGCTCCTAACAGTACCAATCCCACAGCAGATATAGTGACGGAAAATCGTCTGCTTCTCATATCACTCAATGGTGGCAAACCTATAGTGCGTTATTTGACACCGAAATACAACACTGTTGTTCAATAATAGAACAATAGTGTAGTGCACTGGTGATCATTAAGAAGTACGACGTAAGCTATCGACTGTGTATCGACCTACGGCCAATGAACAAGGCCACTCACATCAACGCTTACCCGATGCCAGGAGTAAATGTAGTTCTCGACAGGTGACTCGGTGACCGGTACATCTCGATAATCGACTTCAAGAGCACTTAATTACAGGTACCATTGAAAGAAAACTGCAAGAAGTATACGGCATTTTCAGCGACAAGCTGTGGGCTCTGGGAGTGTAACTAGATAATCTTAGGTATATCAAACACTACTACAACCTTCATGCGCTTGATGAACACGCTGTTCGGACCAAACTTCAAACTGCATGTATTCAAGTAGTCCGACGATGTAATTGAGGTCATCGAGACGCTCAAGGATTATTTGGTGTAGCTCGAAAGGAAGCTAAAGCAGGACAGGTAATCAACGTCAAGAAGAGCGAATTTGGACGTTTCAGTATGACATTCTGTTTTTGGGGCATCTTTTTGATAAAGGTGAATACTGATCCGATTCTGATCACATTCGGCCCATGCTAAATTTTCCTGCACAACGAAAAATCAAACAGCTTTGTCAATTTCTGGGTGTGTGTGAATGATCCTCCAGCTTCATTAAGCAAGAGTTTACATCTGAAAGTATCCTTAACGAAGTTTCTTCACAAGAACGAGGAATGAGGCTAGAATTCCAAGCAGTAACAAGCATTTGAATTATTTAAGCGAGCTTTAAAGGGGCTTTATGGGCTAGCGTGTCACTGTTATTGCCGTCACTTATATCATATGTCTAGTCCATTAGATCCTTCAGCTACAGCAGTGGAACTTCGAGTTCGTGTATCGCAAATGAGCAAGCACTCCATCATGTCCTTAATATGTTATCTTGTGGGTTTAAGAGTAAAATGGAAGCAACAACATTTAAAGTCATCACCAATCAGCGATACCTCCAGCAGATGAAGGATGCGGAGGCGCAACTACTCAAGTTTCGAGGTTAGAAGGTGGAAGACGAATATTGTAGATATGATTGTAACGAACTCCTGGATCCAGTAACACTCATAAAAATAGTATTGGCGACTCGTCGTTGAGAACGTGTCATGCGAGGTGATCATTGCGATCTATCAACAGAATATTTTGGTCGCGAGAAAACGTACGAGAATGAATAAATAAGTCCTTAAAAAATTCAAGAGATGGCGCACAAAACACCATAATACGAGTGCTGCCAAAGTTTCAACCAGATCCATCAAGTGGTTACGTTTTTACTTTTCAAAGAAAACAACTTTTAATTGTTATTATGTAGCGACGCAGTTTGTTTTGTCTTTTCTACGCGACTGCAACCCAACAAATACCTAAAATTCTAATTAAGGTAGTATCCATCTAGCGATGACACTTCGCCTATACGAGGCGTGTTCAAAAAGTAAGGTGACTTTGTATTTTCTAGAAAAAATATTTATTTATTTATCAATATTTATGTTGTCCCCTTCAAAGTAATCCCCCTCAGATACAATACACTTATGCCAACGGTTTTTCCAATCCTCAAAGCACTTCTCATAAGCACTTTTCGGTATAGCCTTAAGCTCTTCCAGCGATGCAGTCTTTATCTCTTCAATCGTTGCAAATCTCCGTCCTTTCATAGGTCTCTTTAGTTTTGGGAACAAGAAAAAGTTACATGGGACCAAATCCGGTGAATATGGTGGCTGAGGCATGATTGTGGTGTTGTTTTTGGCTAAAAAATCTCTCACACGCAAAGATGAGTAAGCAGGGGCATTATCGTGATGCAAAAACCATGAATTGTTTTTCCACAATTCTGGGCGTTTTCTTCATATTGCTTCTCGCAAACGGCGCATAACTTCAAGATAATACTGTTTATTGACCGTACGTCCATATGGTAAGAACTCCTGATGCACCACGCCACGGTAATCGAAGAAAACAGTGAGCAAAACTTTGATATTTGATCGAACTTGGCGTGCTTTTTTCGGTCTTGGCTCATCTGGGCTCTTCCATTGGGACGATTGGACTTTGGTTTCGATATCATAACCATATACCCATGATTCGTCACCAATTATGACCCTTTTGAGTAAATCTGGGTCGTCGTTGACGTCATTCAACAGTTCTTGAGCGATGCTCATGCGACGGTTCTTTTGGTCAAAATTTAGCAATTTCGTAACAATCTTCGCTGACACACGTCTCATGCCCAAAACGTTAGAAAAAATTTCATGGCACGAGCCAAGCGATATACAAACATCCTCAGCAACTTCTCTGATAGTGATTCGACGATTTTCCAGAACAATTTTCTTCACTGCTTGAACGTTTTCATCAGTTGTTGACGTGCTTGGGCGTCCAGAGCGAGGCTCGTCATTGGCATCTTCCCGGCCATCTTGGAAGAGTTTGTACCACCTGTAAACATTTTTTTTACTCAGAACAGTTTCACCGTATGCCACCGTCAACATTTCAAGTGATTCGGAGCACTTCACTTTATTTTTTACACAAAATTTGATGCAAATCCTTTGATTCATATTTTTCGATAGCAAGAAATCACCGAGCACGCAAAACACTTATAACCTTTACGCCTCTCACAACCAAACAAAAAATACTATACACTTGAAACTTGGTACAGATGTTTGGAAAGAGTGTACCAACATAACAAAACAAAAAATTCGATAATCGAAAGTACGTTGCCCGTGAAATTTGAAGTCACCTTACTTTTTGAACACACCTCATATATAAATGTGTGAGAATGTGTTCTCAGAATTTTGACCACGTAAGAAGTGTGACGTTACTATATAATTTTCTCGATGAATTTCACGAAATTTTGCAAAAATATTAAATAAATGTTTTGTTATGAACCAAAACACTTTTCTTATACTTATAGATGCGTAGAAGTCGAATATATAAGTTTTAAACGAATTCAAAAAAAATGGCAAAAATTAATTGTGAATGTTAAATGATTAATTAATAAAATTGTTAATATTAATTAATCAGGTGATTAAACTTTGCGTAAAAGACATCTAACCGAATTAAAGCAAGAATTTTTCTAATGGCAACCAATTACCAAGAAACGTTATAAATCAATAAATAATTTATAATTTTCTGTAACAAACTAAAATATCTTACGAGACAGGGTTCGACATATACAGGGAAAATTGTTAAAAGCGAGTGAGTTCTTGAAAATTGCAATATTTTTTTCTATTACATTTTTTTTGTAATCACAACTTTCAGAGATTCAACGAATTTTATAAAAAGGTCAGTTTTTTGTAAAACAATATGCAGCTTGTAAAAAACAACTTTAAAAAATTTTCTCGCACATGAATTTTGTAGCTTTTTAAATGAATTTTCGAATGATATATCTAGTTTTCTTGTCCGATAACTTCCTGCAAAATTACATCGCTTTAATGTTTGAGAGAAAAAACGGAAAAAATTGATTTTATTTATGATGTGTACACAACTCATAAAAAAAAGGAAAATCATATATGTATTTCATATGGTTCGAAAGCTCTATAGAAGACCTTCAAAATTATATCCCGACAATTGCTGTAGCATATTTTGGACCCGCGATATAAAACTTTGAAGTTTTGCTAATTTTGGTCTAGGGTGGACAAAAGTCGTCGGACGGCAGTGTATATCTTTCTCTGGACTGTAGTTATCATAAAATCCATTAAATCATATGAATCACACTTTGAATAGAATATTAATTTTATCAATAAATTATATAAGTATTTATACTTAAAATACGACTTACCTTATCAATATATTGTGTAGCATAACATTTTGCTTTTTAAGTTTCTCAAAATTATTCGATAATTTTTGCATACGCTCAGCATCTTCGTTTTTAAGCTTCTGTTCTTTTTTGTCATGAAAAAGATTGGAATTGGTTTTTAATATTTGGTTGATTAATAAAGTTATTGCTAACAACCAAATTATAATCAGAATTACAGTCATTTTTCCAAGCCACTTGTACCGTCCATAATGATTGCGAATATTCATGTTGAACTGAAAAACAATTCAGTTATAATGTAAGTTAACCAAATATGCAACGGACATTAAATTATAAAATAGTACAACAGTCATTTTTCCCAATGCATAACAATTTTCAGTTTTCATATTTAACTGAAAAATTTTGATTATTTTGTTTATTAAAATAATTAATTGATTGTCGTCTAATTAAAAAGTATTCTTTCTTTAATCATATTATATCAATAAAAATTTTATGCAGTTATAAAATTCATTTTATGAATATACTTAGTTGATGAAAAAAAATGTAGCTAGATTTACATACTAATTTTTTTGCAAAACCATTTTGATACCTCTGTAACAGCTGCGGAAAATGAAAGCGAAGTACGTACTATACTCATCATGCGCCTTTGTCTCTCCCTATGGAGCCCAGATGTTCCCAGAACAGCGGGACCAATTTTTATTGACTAGACTAAGTAGGAAGGCCGAAAGTCGTTAAGTTTGGAATTCGCATCTGGTTACAGAGATTTTCTCTTATTTTCACTTTTCAGAGCAGCTAAAATTTAACACAGGATAGAAATCTGAAATTAATTAGTTTTATTTCAATGTTGATATTCATACCAAATTATAGAAAAAATTTACGACTTTCGGAAACCTCTTATGCGTTTTTTTATTAGAACTATAGCTTTGGCATAAATCAATGAAAGTCAATAAAAATATCGACATTTTAAAATAGAATTTTGTAACTAACTAATTCATTTATTATAAATATTGGAAAACTTCTTTTATATAAATATGTGGCGGGGAACTTTGAGGGGTCTTAACCGCGCACTCCGAGTACTTCCGCCACAAGGCCTGATTGGCCCGTTTTCCCCCAACTAAAAATAAGGGCACCAGACCGCCGTTCCTAAATGTCGGCGATCGTCGGGGGTAGGATCTGAAAATCGTGACGTAGTTCTGTTTGCCCACGGTGCGACTGCGCAGAGTGAGCAGGTTGACGTCGTCACGGCGATTTCCTCTTCTCAGGCCGATGATGCCCAACAATTGTCGATTTATTTGTCCTCTCACATTCTTGAACTGCCGGCTGCTCAGGATATGAGTCCTTGTCTCGAATCGGAGGTTCTTTCGATTTTACACGTAAGTTACCTAATGCTCGGAACCAGAAATGTGAACAAAAGAATCCTCGCTATCGACCGTTTGCGGCTGAAAAGAATATCAGCATACAGGGAAGAAAGGGTTAACGAGGCGTAAATAATAAAAATTAGTCACACTTAACTTTCCTTTATTCTGCGGCTAAAGTACTGGTACGGTCGGAATGGCGGATGGTCAGCGCGACTTGACGCGATTTAATACGCGGCGAAAACAGTTCCATCTACACGTTCCGGCGAATCAAATCTGCGATGATCTAATAAGCTCGGTCCCCAAATTCGCAACTGTCATTCACTGCACCGAAATACCGAAATACCTTTCCGATTCTTTCACTCACGCTAATTCGAAAAATGGCGGGAGGTCAACGCGGCTCGATCGCAGCACTATATTCCCGGTGTCGACGGATCCACGCGTCGCGACGTGATTATTTGCACGAGAAATCACGCACCGTACTTCGAAACTAGTACTAGTGAGCGGCACTTTGCCAACTTACAGATTACTGCTGAAGAAAGTCGGCAAACTCAAGGTACTTCTCAGCGACTCTCGTATTTGCTTCCTACAGCGGTAGCGATCAGGGACAAAATGGACAAGGAACTGCTTTTCGCGGTCAAAGATTCTTTTTCCTCTCCTCTTTCCGAAAATAAATCCTATTATTGGCCGATACACTAATTCGGATATCGGTAGCGACCTCTGAATATTTCGTCATTGGTCAATATGCAAATTAGAAAAGTAACAGCGCCCTTATTTTATCTCCTACTTCGTCGCTTTTACCCTCTCTCACCCCCTCCCCCCCACTAAGTCGGCCAGCATTGATTGACGAGAAAGATCTATCCCTACTCTTATTTATTTTTCGTTGCGAACGGAAATCAAATTTTATTCTAATTCGCTCAATTTAATTTGTCAGATTTTTTATCGTTTATTAATACACTTAAGGGATTGTAGCGGCTACATTCAAGTATTTTCTAATTTTTATTTTAGTATGTTCCATGTTCTAAATCGCATTGCTAGATATTTTGCAATGATACAATAATTGTATGTCGGTTTTATCTTCGTAGCGCCCTCATCATCGCATTGGCATTTGAATTAGTATGGTATTTATTCTAGTTCGCTCGCTTTCATATGGTCTGACTCGCTCGCTCTATCTTGCTCGCTCTCGCTTAGTTTATATCGCTCTTCAAAATGGCCCCCTCGCTCCCCCATGTTAACCTCGTGCTCTGTTGCCGGTCTCCGAAGCGCCTCCTGGAGCACTCCCCTTCGGTCGTGTGGTGTAAGTGTGTACCCGGGTGTTATGTGTGTGTATCTCCGGAAGTTGTCAGTGATCGGCACCAGTGTTTGTGTGTGTGGCGCTCAGGATTTTGCTGATGTTGCGCAGCAGCCTGACACAGCTGATTACCGGCTGCCACTTCATCGTCGATTTTCTGATCGCCCCAAATATGCCAGCGTCTCGAAAGTGTCCGTGTTAGTGTGTGGAAGTGTAACGGATTTCCATATATCGCTAACATGCATTTCCGATGCATTTCCCAGTCAAGTTTTCGTGTTTTTCTTTCCCGCTGGCAACACGTGGTCGGGAATGTGTGCGCTCTCTTTTCCTCGTTGTGCGCTCCGTTTTTCACTCATCCGTCGGATCGCATTCTTCGACTTGTTGTATCGTTTTCTCGGGTACCGGTAGGCGGATATGGAAAAAAATTAGTGTCCGGATTAGGGCGCGCGTAGGTCATATTTATCCGGCTGGTTACGGGGCGGTAAGAGACGAGGATGAATTTTCTGAGGTGTTGCAAATAGTGCAACACTCTCAGGGAAAGCCTTGTAATGTACCACATTACAAATATTGAAAACTTCTTTTGTAATCATGTTGTACAAATTTTTAGTACAAAATGATATAATAGAAAAATCTGAATTGAATAAATACAATAAACTATAGCTAAATAATATGATAATAAGTCGATATAATAAAACAATAACAAGTTCGAAACAGCATTAAATATGAAATTGATTTATGTAAAATAATTGTAAGAAGGATAAAAGAATTTCGCCTTGTTTATAGTAATTAAACATTCCCCTGTACTTCATTATATATTAAGATAATCTTAAATAGTCCTTGTTTCTGGAATCATTGTGGATATAAACTTGACAATAGTCTTAACAATCTTTTACCGTAATATTGCTTAAATAATTATTTAAACTAAAACCTAAAGTAAAGTTACCAGGAAACATAAAATTTCAAAATTTAATTAATGATTCAGCATTAAAGTACTATAAGCTATGAAATTTTTATAATAAAACTACGTAAGCTTTGCTCAACTATTGTTTGCAAAAAATATTAACATTGAGTCAAAAGTATGGGCATATGAGACCATTACTTGTGCAAGGCCCAAAGTTCATAAGAAACTTCCCTATTATCTAACGGCCTAGCACCAATCAGTATGTAAAAATAGGATAAGGAAATTGAAGGAAAATTTTGTGGTCAATGAAATTTTTACAGCTAACTTCACTTTCCTTGAGTTTGAGGTTACAGAGAGGAATTTTCCACCCAACCACCCCTAAGGGTTATTTAAGCCCTTGGGGGACTCGGAGAGACTCCTCACTGCCGGTGTTATTTTTTGCTGTATTATATTTCATAACTTGTTCTTATAAGTTATTCTTGCGTTTAGTAATCGTGACAGATATTTTATTTTTATTTTACTTTATCTTGTTTTGTTATATTTAATTTTAATTTTTGTTGTATTCTTCATCTAACGCTATCTACACGCTAGACAATTTTAATTTTAATTTTAATTTTAATTTTATTCGATCGACTATATCAAATCGCGTTCTTTTTCTACAATTCATTTAATTTTTAATATAATTCCTGTGTTCGTTTCGTCAATCATTTTCTCATTTCATTTTGGGTATGTGCAACTTGTTTGATTTTTGCGTATTAGTCGTTTTTAGGTTAACTTGCGAGTCTTTTTTCCGACTCTTGTAAATGGCATCATTTTACTCCAGAATCTCCCGCCAATTTTGATCCTTAACTAACAGAGTTGGTGCCACTGAGGCGCCAATTTTTAAATCTTTTAAATCCTGACTTTTCTTAGCTTCTGTTTATGACGGGTCAGTAACTCAAATTTTCGCGCGAAATTCAAACTTTTCAATTTGTCGTATCGATCTGTCCTTTACAAATGACCTCTTGTATTACAGTTTCTTGTGAAGTTTAAGACCCAAGGAGGAGAGATGGGAAAAATTTTGACACAATCTATGAATTTCTATTGTTTGTCATAATTTGTTCTTAATTCCAAAATGCTCACTTTTATCAAATGATCTTGTCTTTCTGCGCTGAGTGGGGTAAAGCACAAAGTTACCGGGGTGGCAGTATCTCGTAGTGCGAGGCTTGTGATAGATTTTTCCATCAGCACTGTACTGATATAACTTCAAACCCTGATCTTGCAATCTTTATTTGCCGTACTTATTCTTATGAGTCTGCGGTCTTGGCTAACCATCATCAAACCGGTGGCATGTTTTTACCATCCCCTCCTTCCACTCAAATCGACTCTGCTTCAGCTTACCCCTTGTCTCTCGTCGAAACCTCAGACCGAAAGATAAGCATCACCTTACGAGCTTTTCCCGTCGGAGACGTTGAAAGTGGAATTCCGGAGTGATTCATTGAATACTGCCTGATCGATTGCCTTTCCTATGTTTCTTCTTCCAGCACGAACCAAATCCTCTTGCTTGATAGTATGGCTTCTACCATGGGCGAAAAATCCCCAGCATAGTTTTCCGATTTTGTAAATAATGAATTTACCGAGTTTCGAAACGAGATTAGAGCCACGCAGACTTCTATCATGACCAAAGTCAGTCGTGTCCTCGACGCCGAGGAGGTGAAGAACCTTAAGTCTACAATGAGCCTCAAGGATCGCTCCGAGCTCCTTATTTTGGGCCTTCCGCAGGAGTTCCAGGGTTTGTTGGAGGTTGCTGCCGGTATGCTCTTCGAGGCGATTGGCTACCCAAAAGCTCGGAGTCGCATAGCGGCCACCAGAAAATGGACTGCCACTCGCTCACGTCCAAACCCAACCGAGACTGCCCTGCAAAGTCAGACGCATGCTACTACGTCCGCATTCGTCGTGCGTATCGACTCAACGGTGGTGCGTGATATTATTTTGGAACGCTCTGGGAAACTCGCTGGGAAGACGTCGAGGGACGTCTTTAAGTGCGGTTTTGGAAATCCCGTCTTCATCCGCCAGCTGTTACCCCAGTCGATCCATAATCTTTTTGTAAATGCGCTTGCGCGTAGTCGCGAGCTGGGTTTCGCGCGCTCTTTCGTCTCGGGTATGGTCATCCACATGCGGAAAAACACGCGTTCCACTCGTGTCCCCATAATGTCGAAGAGCGACCTTGATTGCTGTACACCTTACCTCCCGGTCAGCTTCCTGTTCCGACTTCTCCGCGCTCTATAGTG